CATCAATTACTAATTAAGAAAATGCCTTACAGACTTGCCTGCAGCCTGTTCTTATGAAGGCATTTTCTTGAGACTCTCTTCTCTGATGACTTTAGTTTGTGTCAAGCGGACAAAAAATTATACTGTGATGTTAATAAATAGTTTTATTTATTTACTATTCTCATTTTAATTAAAAATTCTCATATAAAACATTTTGATCATGTTCCTTCTTCTCCTCTAACTTCTCCCAGGTCTCCCCTCCCTGTACACCCAACTTTGTTTTTTTCTCTCTCAAAAACCCACTATTGTTCTTTAAAAGGCAGGTGTGTTCCCTGGCAGGCTCGCAGAGCAGCCGCTAGTCCGACAAGGACAGCTGTGGGTCCCTGCAAGATCTCCAGGGTGGCAGGCTGGTCCTGCCATGTGGCCAGGAGAGTCATGCGGATGGGTACAGTGGATAAAAGGCTCACAGGACATAGTATTACTTAAAGAAGAGGGAGACATTTATTACTTAAAGAAGAGGAAAACAGAGAGACATAGAGAGAAACATAGGGAGAGACAGAGATACGCATGCATACGCCAAGAGACTGGGGACATAAGAGAGAGAGTTAAGATGGCGGCAAGGGAGGTCAGAAGTGGCTGGGAGTGGGTGTGGTTAGCTCTTAAAGGGACCAGACCCAAAAGAATAACATTCCCGATCCTTTTTATAATAAAAAGTAGAAGGTTAGACATTACAGTTTGAAGGAATTGGAGCGGCGAATTCTCAAGACTGCTTCCGGCTGATTTGTGGGCGTCATCTTTGGGGGGGGAGGGAGATCTGAGAGAAGGCTGGGTGCTGTTTACATACTGGCATAGTTGGTCTCTGCTCCCGACAGGTGTCTGTGGCATGGAAATGTCTGATGTCCCTTGTACTTGGTTAGGGTGTTGACAGAACAGAGGACAAAGTTAAATTAAGAAAAAAAAATTTTTAGAACCAGGGAATTGAGGGGTTATGTATCTGACCTGTTTACGGTGGGTTTTTTTAATTCAGCTCCCTGGAACTCATAAGAAAAACAGAAGTTTTAGACATATACATTGTATAATGGCTGTGACATATTTTCATATAATGAAAAGTATTTTTATTTATTGAGGCAACCTGGCAAAACCTCTCAGCTATCAAACTGTCAGAGATCTTTGAGAAGGATAAGATTTTACTTGATTTACTGATTAAACAATGATAGAGAACTTACTTGGTTGGCACCCAGAGCTACTCTTTTGGGTCCTCCCTGGTCGCTGAAGGTTGCATTTGACCTTTGTTGTTTAGCGCAGAGCCTGTCAGGCTTTAGAAGACCCTGTGGGCTAAGAAATCTGTAGGAAGACAGGCCTACCCTACCCTGGGCATCTAGGCTGTCCATTCCAGTGATTCTGTCCACATCTGGAGGTATCCAGTTTAGGTGAAAGGCAGTTTTTGCCCAATGGTCAACGCTTGGCAGTTGAAGCGAACTACAGATGGACATTGTTCTGTGACCGTTTGTCTTCTGTCTTCTTGGAGGAAACAGAGTGCTTGCTAGGAGCCAACCTGTCTCTTTTTGTTATGAAAAGTTGTTTAAATAAATAAATACTTAAATATCACATTCCTCAGATCTCTGAGCAGTTGAGGCTGTGTATTAGGTATAGCTGCAATATAGAATCTGTCTGGAAGGTTGGGTCTGAGGTTGACTGTACTGGCTCTTAACAGGTAAGATCTACATTTGTAAAAAGACAGACAGAAAGAAAAAAACTGTTTGTAACATTAAGATTAGTGGCAGAACTGACAATGGTAGAGAATAGCTTAATATTAAATATAAGAGAGGTAAAAGTACATACCAGTTTAAAATACGAGACTTATGATTTTGTAGTCTGAAATGAGATGAAATGAACAATCATTATACATAGAAAGATTGAACAGGAATTAGGCAAAGTGCACGCTTCTGATGGGCCCTATCAGAAGTGTGTCACTATGTAAAACCCCTGTAATCAGAGTTAACGAGAGGATTTCAGTAAACACCGAGGAGGGAGAGGGGAAGGCACTACATACATAAGAATGGAAGAGCTTGGTCACATGACCTGGCTCTCAGTGAATCTAGCGATAAAGTCACCTGACCCCAATGAACATGGTGGCGGCCACGTGTTGCGGGGGAAAAGTTACAATTTTTGAGCTGTAAGGATTTTAAGCTTAATAAAGAGTGACCTAAAGGCGTGATCTGCTCTGTTGCTGAGCCACCATGCCGAACCATAAGCCGCAGAGGGGAGCAAAAGGCTGGAACTGAAAAAACTGCACCATGTCATGGCCAGCAGGAATTTTAAAAGCCGGGGGCTGCCTGTCATAAGCGGTTATTATTTAGAATGTGAATCATGAAAACCCGCGTAAACAGACAATTTAAAGACGGATAGGTGTGGAGGATTTTAAGTAAGGCATATTTAGGCTGGAACGACTTGCTTTTCCAGGTCAAGACCGTGAAAAACCTGCAAAAACCATGGCATCTTGAGCCTACGGGGAACGGCTCCCCGACGGCACCAATATTGTTCTTTAAAAGGCGGGTGTGTTCCCTGGCAGGCTCGCAGAGCAGCCGTTAGTCCGACAAGGACAGCTGTGGGTCCCTGCAAGATCTCCAGGGTGGCAGGCTGGTCCTGCCATGCGGCGGGCGAGTCATGCGGATGGGTACAGTGGATAAAAGGTTCACAGGACATAGTATTACTTAAAGAAGAGGGAGACATTTATTACTTAAAGAAGAGGAAAACAGAGAGACATGGAGAGAAACATAGGGAGAGACAGAGACACGTGTACACACGCCAAGATACGGGGGACATAAGAGAAAGAGTTAAGATGGCGGCGAGGGAGGTCAGAAGTGGCTGGGAGTGGGCGTGGTTAGCTCTTAAAGGGACCAGACCCAAAGGAATAACACCCACAAAACACAAAAACAGAAATCAAAGCAAACAAGCAAAAGATCAATAAGGAAACAACAACAGGAGCAGCAGAGCAACAACAACAAAACCCATAGCATTTTTGTGTGTGTGCCGGCCAGCTATTCCTGGCCATGGAGCTCACCCTGGAGTGTGACTGATACATAGTGACACTCAACTGGAGAAGACAGTTTGCTCTTTGCTATTGAGTATTAATTGTAAATAGCTTCTCTCTTAGGGGTGAGACTCTGTGTCTACTTCCCCCTCACAGTGCTGGGATTGCATCTGGCCCTGTGATGTTAACATTGATTTTCAACAAGTCAGCTTCTGTAGGAAACAGTCTCTGGCCATACCTGTAGGGGTTTATCTAGATTACAAGTCTCTGGCCTGACCTGTGACTGATTGTCTTAAGTTAATTGATGTGAGAAGACAAAACCTAAATGTGGGAAGCACCATTTCCTGGCCTGGGCTGAGGTTCTGACTGAAAGGTTGCTGAATACAGACATTATCTTTCTTTTCTTTGTGGCTGCGATACAACTTGAAAAGGTGCCTTGAGCTCCTCTTTCCGGGAATTTCCCACAATGATGAGCTTTATCTGAAACCAGTGAGCCAAAACAATCACGCTCTCAAGTTACTCTTGTCAGTTCCTGAAAGCTCTTTCATTTAGATCACTGGGGAACTTATAAAAAGGACTTTATTTCGCTCATGGTTTTAGAGGTTAAATGTCCAAGAACAGAGATAGCTTTCATAAAGGCCTTGTGGCAGCAATACTACAGTGCGAGTGTGGGCACGAGGGGCAGATCAGGAATCCAGACAGAGATTTAAGGGCCAGGCTCTTCAAAATTTTAAAATGATTATTTTTATTTTATGACTGGATTGTCTACATGTACATCTGTGTACCACATTCTTGCCTGGTACCTGTGGAAGCCAGAGAAGAGCATCAGATTCCCTGACACAGACAGTTACTATGTGGGTGCTGGGAACCAAATCTGTGTCCTTTGCAAGAGCAACTGAACCATGTCTCCAACCCAAAGGCTAACTCTTTTTAATTTCTTGCAAGAAATACCCATGTCCATTATATCAATTATTTGTAAGAGGGCAACTATCCCAAAGAATTCCCATTTGCTCAACCTCTTGAAAGTCCTCTCTGTATCACAGAGGACCAAATTTCCTGTGTATAATGTAGATTGGGATTTCTGTCTGCCATATCCACCTGCTTCCCAAAAGGAACTATGTATGGGACTGGAAAGGTAGCTCAATGGTTAAGATAGCATACTTTTCATCCAGAGGAGTTACCCATAGCAGGTGGATTACAACAGCCTGTAACTTCAGCTCCAGGGGAACCTTGTTGGAGGGAGGGCGCTTGTTTCCAGCTGCTTAGCTCCAAAATAATCACACAGAAATTGTATTGATTAAATCACTGCTTGGGCCATTAGCTCTAGCTTCTTATTTGCTAACTCTTACATCTTAATTTAACCCATCTCCATTAATCTGTATATTACCATGAGGTCGTGGCCTACCAGCAAAGTTTCAGCACGTCTCCAGCAGCGGATACATGAAGTTCCTCTTTGCCTCTTCCTCCCAGCATTCCATTTAGTTTTCCCCACATAGCTCTGTTCCCCTATAGGTCTGCTATAGGCCTCCTGAAGCAGTTCCTTTATTAACCAATGATATTCACAGTATACAGGGGGGAATCCCACATCAGCATCTGACACCTTGGGCCTCCTAATGCACTGGCACTGACATGCACAGATCCACATAATTACTCACAATAAAATAAAAATTAATCCTCTCAACAAACCCCAAAAGGAACTCTTCTGAAAATGGAAAAGGGACTGCTCAGAAGGGAAAAATTCAGTTCTTAGGCCTATGTCACAGCATGAAATCTTTCCTTTGGTCTAAGAGGACACCTCATTTCTTCTTGATATGGCCGCTGTTAATGGGCTTGACAATTTGTGGGTAAGGGCAGCTCCAGCTTTTCCTAGTATTACCCCATGAAAACAGGACCTTGCAAACAACAGGTCCTCAACAGAAAAGTAGGGTGACATTTATTTGCATTGTAATTTTATTAAAAATAACTTGCAAATCAAAAACATCACACATAGAAATTAATCAGATCCAGAGTCTATACATCATAGTGAACTTCTCTACAATTCTGAAGCTGTGGAGCTTCATACTGGGTGACATATTAGGATGTAATTCCTCATACAATTTCAAAAAGCCATTTGGATCTACTCATGTAACTTAATTTTACAGAGGAACAGATTTTGTTGAAGGGGAAAATAAGAATTAATTTCTTTCAATTTTTCTCTGCTTATTGACATTGCATATATTATTAAATTCTTTCACATTTCAAATTAAATTCCTATTCCAATGTTATTACAGACCACAAAATAAGATGGAGGGTTTTGTTATATAAAATAGCAAAAGATGGGTAGGCATGGGGCACAGATCTTTAAACCTGGCACTCAGGAGGAAGAGATAGGTGGATCTGCCTCTTGGTCTATAGAGAATTCCAGACTGGCTATGGCTACATAGTGTGATCCCACTGCAGAAAGCAATAAATGTGTCATTAATGCCATTTATAGACTTAGATTCTGAAGTTCATTAAATCTTTCAATTAAACAAAACAAAATTTAAAAATACTAAAAAAAGGTTCCAAGTTACCCTTATAAAACAGGAAAAACGATGTTATTCATGTACTTTCACTAGCTCTTTACTACTTAAAACAGTGACTGTCACCCTCAAACACAGTGCAGACTGATCTGAGACTTCATCCAGAAAGCTTTTGAATGTTGCACTAGAACTTATATTGGACATACAGTATGCTATTGGTGGTGGCAATGCTAAGCAAAATTCCCTGTTCTCTCAAAGCCTCTAAATACAGGGATTGGAAGTGTCTGGAACCACTTAGATTATCCTGCTGACCTGAGTCAAAAACTCTAAGACATCCACACTTCTGGTTTCAGCATGGGCCCTTGGACCCCATAGGAACTCACAGCAAGGAGGATCACTGTTAGGAACTGGAATGTATTCCAGGTACCCTTCCTGTACAAAATTTTCAATGAAAAGCTTCTTGGCATTCCCGGCTATATAGTGATTTTCTATGGGAGTTACTCCCATCATATTTAGTGCTCGCCAGATCACATTCTCACTGACACGATTTCCATACATGCAGATGACACCTAGGACAGTTATTAGGAGGCCTGTTTTGGGCATGCCTTGGACATCAGTAAGCATCCCATCATAAGTGATTCCCAGGGCAATGACAAGGGCATAGGTGTGGATAACAGGGTCCACTTCTATTACATCAATGCCAAATACAAGCTTCAAACCCTCAGAGGCCTCATTAAAGATCCTACTGTAGTGCTGTTCATCATCCCCAATACTCTTTTCTATAATTTCTGCCTTGTTAGTCAGCTCCTTCAATCTATACTTGAGGAGCAGGAACTGCACCAAATCAGCCACCTTTGCACTTAGGGCATGGTACAATACCAGCTCCCCTCTTGGGTTGCCAGAGGCCTCATCAGATGGGGATATTGGAATGGAGGCCATGACAGTGGGAGGAGATAAGGCTCGCTGAGGACTCTGGGGACAATTTGGTATCCCACCAGAAGGTATCTTCCTGGGGAGGGCTGGGCTAGTGGAAGAGGAGGAGTTGTCATTGGACTCCTCTCCCTCAGCCACAGAGAGATCAGAATTCATCTGGTCCTGTTCTTCTTTTGGGGTCTGAGATTCTCCCTGAAAGTCGCAATACTGCCTCTTCTGACCATGAGACATGATGACGTTCTTGAAGCTAGCAGGCAGGAGGATGGGTAAGAACACAGTGGTACAGACTCAGACCTGGGGCAAGAAGAGAGCAGTGTAAGAATACTTTGGTGACTGTTACACCCTGAAACCTTTCCGAATGGCCTGTTGACTTTTTCTCTTGAGTGGTACCATATGGCCACAGGGGATCCTGTCTTTCTGTCACTCCTATTATTTAGGACACTGAAGGAAGAAGTGAGAAGTGTCTTCAGAGCACAGCCAGGTTACAGAGCTTGACACTCCAGTGGGACAAGGAAATGTGGAGTCCCTGTGTTCTGGGAAGGATGGGACACTTGGTACCTCATTTTCACTCCTGACTCTGCTTGGCCTTCTGCATCTGACCTGAAGACACTACCCCAGACCAAGAGTTGCACACTGTGAGACTACTAGGTGCCTAACCCTAATCAGAAAGGAGAGCTGGACTCTGGGTAGCTCCTCCACTGTCTCATATGGTACCCTCTGTAGTCACTCTTTGCATTGTCAGGGTCTGGACCCCAACCCTCTTCTGCCTGAGGCCAACTTCTTGTAATGGAGGTCCACAACTCTGGGATGGGACAAGGCAGCTAGGGAACCTTACATCCAGTTAAACTTTCCTAGGGTGACATGAAGTGGTAGCACACTTCACTAGGGTCTGTGTGTGTCAGGAAGGAGAGCCTGTTTCATATTTACCTTGATAAATTGCAAGGACTGAACTGCTTCCCCTAATGAGCTTAACCCGCCTTCTTTAATGTGACGCTGTATTTCTGTGAAAAGAGAAAGGAAGTGAGCAGAAGAAATCCACCTACAGTCTCCAGGTTTTCCCACAGCCAACAGAAGCTCTAGGTCCCACCTTGAGTTCTGACATGACTGTTGATATGGGGTTCCCTAGGTCCACCAGAAGTTTATTTATCTGATGTGTCCTTTCTGATATCTCCCCAGCAATTCTGCAGAACAGGCCTCACTTTTCCCTGACATCCTATAGGCTAAAGTGAAGGCAGACTGACAAGAGGGTGGAGGCAACCATGCACTTAGAATTCTGCCACAGATTCTTAAGTCCTCTTTGCTGTATGGACCTTAGAATGTGGCTCTTAATCCTAAAGTCTACTAAGGCAGATAGAGGGTGTTGATTCTCATTTGAACAAAGCCCACCGCTATTATGGTTCAGGACAGATAAAGAGCTGGGTTTAGATTTTTTTGAAGATACTATTAGGACTGGTACATCCTTAGTCAATTCTCAAGAGCTTACCATAACTTCACAGAATCTGGCTCTCAAAAAATTTTTTCTAAATTAAGTGTAATCTCAGTACTTAGGAGGCCCACCTGATCTACACAGAATTTCAGGATAGCTTTGACTACATAGTAGAGACCATCTCAAAACAAAATAAAATAAAACAACCAAAAATAAAAAGACCCTGTCTCAAAAACTCAAAACAGTATAAAAGATAAGGTCTCTGATTGTACTGGCATATATCACATACCCATAAATAAAAACAGAAACAAACCCAAAAATAACAAAACAAGTCTGATTCTGAGAGTCTCTACTGAGGAGAAAGAGTGGGGAAGTGAAGGTTACCCCTGGATTATAAGGGAGGGGTGTGTCCCTCTGTCAGGTCTGGGGCTTTGTCAGTCTCCTCACCTGTGCTGGCCCTCAGAAAATGTTTCTCCCCTCTCCCCCTCCCTCCCCCTCTCCCCCCCCCCCTCTCTCACACACACTTTCTTTTGTTTTAGTTTTTCAAGTCATGGTTTCTCTGTGTAGCCCTGGCTGTCCTGGAAGTCATTCTGTAGACTGGGTGGTGGTGGCGCATGCCTTTAATCCCAGCACTTGGGAGTAAGGGACAGGTGGATCCCTGTGAGGTCGAGGCCAGTTTGGTCTACAGAGTGAGTTTCAGAACAGGCTCCAAATGTCTCAAAAAAAAAAAAAAAAAAAAAGGATGGCAGTGGTGGTACGTGCCTATAATATCTGTAATCTCAATATTAAGGAGGCTGGGGCAGATGGCACTTTTTTTTTCGAGATTGCTTTTCCCTGTAGCTTTGGAGCCTGTCCTGGAACTAGCTCTTGTAGACCAGGCTGGCCTCGAGCTCACAGAGATCCGCCTGCCTCTACCTCCCGAGTGCTGGGATTAAAGGCATGTGCCACCACCGACTGACTCAGATGGCACTTCAAAGCTGACTTAGTCTACACAGCAAATTTTGGGGCAGTCTGGGCTATGTAGAAAGGATCCTGTCCTAGAACCAAACCAAACCAAACCAAACCAAACCAAACCAAACCAGGGACTAGAGAGTTGGCTCATCAGAGCACTTGCTGTTCTTGCAGAGTACCAGAGTTTGGTTCCCAGCACTCACTTTGGGTGGTTCACCACCCCTGGTAACTCGAACTCTGGAGGATTCGTTGCCTGCTTCTGATCTTGAGTTTACTTGCTCACATACTGCAAACACACATATACATAAATAAAAGTAAAATAAACCCAACAAACAAACAAACAAATAAAAAACCAAAAGGACAAAAATTAACTGCTTTGGGAGTCTACTGAACAAGGAGGGACTAGGGTGAGGTTTCCGAACTTTTATGTGAGAGGCCTTCTCTCGGGGTGCCACGTCCTGCCTCAGAGTTTTAACTTATTCCCTCAGAGAGCTTAGATATTTTTCACCCAGTCACCCTCCATGGTTCTGAATCCCAGATTCCACTGAGGTAAACTTCCTACAGGTGCCAGGCTGATCAAAAGGTACCAAGCCTGCATTAAATGCTAACCATTTGTCTGGGGTTTCACTTCCATGGGCTACCTTCAGGCTTTCGATCTCTCACAGAATTGGCGCCTTCTCCATTCAAAATGGCTCCCAAGCAGTGCATGTTCAGTCACGTTTATACTTGCAGCCCTGTTGAGGCTGAAATAGTAGCGCCAAGTTTGAGGTCAGGGAGGGCTACACAGTGAGGGCCTGACTCAAACAATGAAACCAAACAAGCAAAACACAGTCTTAACAATTCCTACCTTGACCATTTTGCCATAGGAGGTCAGAGAATGACTAATTCCTACTGCGTGCTCCAGGGTCGGTTTCGGGCACACAATGATAGAGGTGGACAAGGTGGCAGAGGTGAACACACCAGCAGTGCCGTCAGAATATGTGGATGTCCCTCACTCCGCTCCCCAAATCTTACCTACTTACCTCACAATTCCTCTGTGTTCTCTCACCTCAGGCAACCTCCGAACTGCGCTTTAACTCCCAGAATCCAAGTACAAAGGCTTGAGCAGAGCGCCACCCTGTGGTTTGTGGTCGGGTTGGGGTACAGCACAAAAAGCGTAGGTGCTTCTGGGTTATATGGACATCTTCTATGAGGACTGCAGTTCTCTTAACTTACCCTTAGGATTTCATTCTGTTTTCTTACAGATCTTGGTTCCATTTCTTCTAAGTGGACCACAGAAAAAGGCCTGAGGCATGTGGTGGAAGCCAACGGCTTATTGTTGTTATTTTTTTTTTGTACAAGTAGTTCCACTTCAATTCCAGGCTAATCACAGAGAAATAATATAAATGGTTTGGTCTATTGCTCAGACTTGTTACTAACTAGCTCTTACAACATAAATTAATCCATAATTCTTACCTATGTTTTGTCATGTGGCTTGGTACCTTTTCTCAGTAAAGCATTCTCATCTTGGTTCCTCTGCATCTGGCTGGTGACTCTATCTCTCTTTCCTCATCCCAGAATTCTCCTAGTCTGGTTGTCTCACCCTATACTTCCTGCCTGGCTACTTGTTAATCTCTATCTTATTAAATCAGTATGAGTGACAAATATTTACAGTGTACAAAAGCGTTATCCCACAGCATGCATGTTTATAATTTGGGCCTCCTCTAGCTAGAGTGAGGCTTAAAAAACTTCTTTCTCATACAATACATCCTGTCCACAGGTTCCCCTCCTAGTCCCTCCTAACTCCCCTCTCCCCAGGTCTACTCTTTCTCCTCCATTTCTTTCTAGTGTAACTAAGGAAAGAATCAGACTCTATAGAGGCTCGCAGCCCTCACCTGAATGCTAGATAGTGACCCAGCCCCAAACTTGTCTGTAAATGCACTGAGGCTTTCACATAAGTTGGGAAACACAGGCCTGGTCACTCTGCCTCTGGGCCTTCTCAGGGATTACAACAGGGATAAAAATGAGCTTCCTCTGTTCTGGGCTTCAGGGTTCTTTCAATCTTTTTCTTCGGTCCTGACAGTATGTAAGCCACTTCCCCTTTCCTCTCCTTCCTCAAACCCTTCCTGCCATTTCTCCCTCTTAAATTAATGACTTCTTTTTCTCTAATTCTTACACACACACACACACACACACACACACACACACCTCTAAATATATAAATCCAACTGTAACATAAATTCTAATTGTTTTTTGAATGTATCTTTTTTCTACTTTTCCTTTATTGAAAATTGTTTTGTTTTTTTAATTGTTTTTATTGATCTATACATTTTCTCTACTCACCTCTATTCCCCCCTCTCTCATTCTACCCTCTTCCATGATCCCCATACTCACAACTTACTCTGGAGATCTTGTCTTTTTCTCCTTCCTATGTCTTTCTTCAGGTCCTATTTGTTGTCTAGTTTCTCTGGGATTGTGGTCTGTAGGCTGGTTTTTCTTTGCTATGTCTAAAAGCACTTATGAGTGAATACATATTATATTTGGATGTGTGCTCAACTATGTTCATAGCAGCATTATTTGTAATAGCCAGAGCCTGTAACCAACCTAGATGCCCCTCAATAGAAGAATGGTTAAAGAAGGTGTGGAACATATACACATTGGAGTACTACACAGCGGTAAAAAAAATAATGACATCTTGAAATTTGCAGGCAAATGGATGAATCTAGGAAAGACCACATTGAGTGAGGTAACCCAGACCCAGAAAGGCAAATTCTAATTGTTCTTAATAAAAACCCAGAGTCAGATATTAGGGGGTGAAAGCTGAGAGATCAGAGAAGCAGTACAGCCAGTCACTAGAGACCTTTTACCTCTACTGAATCCTCAGACCAAAATGGTGATCCTGTCCTCAGACTGCCTCCTCAGGCTGTGTCCTCTGCATCCTCAGACTGAGTGCTGTTCAGACTGCAAATGAGCTCCTGTCTCCTCCTGCCTTATATTCCTCTCTCCACCCAGTCATATCACTCCTGTCTCCACCGCCTTAGTGTTGGGATTAAAGGTGTGGGATTCCAAGTGCTAGGATCACCTTTTTGTGAGCTTGGTTTCTTTTCTAGACTGGATCTATTTGTTGTTGCCCAGGGTGGCCTTGAACTCACAGAAATCCATTTGCCTCTGTTTTCTGAGACCTGGGATTAAAGGTGTATGTCACCACTGCCTGGTCTCTAGTGGCTTAGTTCTACACTCTGATCTTTAGGTAAGCTTTATTTGTTAAAAACAAACAAAATATCACTACATCCAACCTGCTCCATCCATTTATTGTAACTGGTATGTATGTTATTTCAGAGCTGTCCTTTGGAAATGGATAATCAACTCAAGGCCTTATCTTTGGGTATGACTATTTCTCGATTCCTTAATTACTTGTAATTCTTTGCCTAGGGGTAGGACCCCTTGAAATTTCCCTCTGTGTTAATATGTCTGCTAGTGGTGTACTTGTTCAGGTTTTGTTTAGGCAGCCATATTGGTGAGGTATCATAGGTCCGATTTCCCTGTTGTTTATAGGAGACATGATCTCACAGCACATTTCCTTGTTCCCTGACTCAATCTTTCTGCCCAGTCTGCTTTAATGTCCCCTGAGCCTTAGGTGTAGTAGTTTTGTTATAGATGTTTCAAGTAGGGCTAGACATTCCCTGATCAGATAGTCTATGCTTGACCTTTTATAGTTTTCTGTCTTGATCTCAGCCTATTGCAAAGAAAGCTTATTTGATGAGGAATGTTTGCTAGTTTTATGCCAACTTGACACAAGCTGAAATATTTGAGAAGAACCTCAGTTGAGAAAGTGCTCCTACCAGATTGGCCTGTGGGCACACCTGTGGGACACTTTCTTCAATGCTAATTGATGTGGGAGGACCCAGTTAAGCGTGGGTGGTGTCACTCCTGTGCTAGTGGTCCTGGATACCATAAGAAAGCAGGCTGGATAAGTTGTGAGTAGGAAGCCAGGAAACAGTACTCCTTCATGCCCCTGCATCAGTTCCTACATTTGGGTTCCTGCCTTTAGTTCCTGTCCTGACTTCCCCGTAAGATGGACTACAAGCTGCAAACTGAAATAAACCCTTTCCTCCACAAGTTTCTTTTGGTAATGGTGTTTTATCATAGCAAGAGAAACCCTAAGACAAGGGGTGAGAGCTATGTTTCTCTGTGGTTAAAAGGATAAGCTTTTAGACTGCAGTTATGACTTATGCTGGGTAAGTAAAGTGAAAGTAGTAAGTTCTCTAAGACATATGACCTCCCTAGCCTTATATAGATGGGCAAGTTTCCAGGGCAAGGCGTGATTTTTCTCTCATTGAGTGGGTCAGAAGTCTTGTTAGGAAGTTTTTGATTATTGTCACAATATGAGTGCCATTATTGTACCCTTAAGGATATTGTGCTATGCTGGTTATTGTGGCTCATAGGTCTCACAGCTAAACTCAATACTTGAAGCCAGAAAATACCACTTCTGTCTACATGGCAATGGCATTTATATTAGTTAACAGAATATATTGCAATGGGGTCACTTTTTTGGCATTACTTGGTTGTCTTAAACCTTCCTTGCAGTACTCATCTTTTTTTTCATTTTAATATATTGATAAATTTATATTCAAATATAGATGTAACAATTCATACATCAACCAGATTTTCAAGAGATCAACTTTTACAGCCTGTCACCAACACTGCACATAGTAAACCTTTTTGTTTTATTTTATTTAGTTTTTAAATTTTGTTTTATTAAAAATAATTTTTTCATACAACATATATATATGTATATATATTGTATAAAAATATATACAATATATATATATATATATATATATATACTTATCACAGTTTCCTTTCTTTCATCTCCTCCCAGATCCTCCATACCTCATACCTCCCATCCTTCCAATTCCATGCTCGCTCTCTCTCTCTCTCTCTCTCTCTCTCTCTCTCTCTCTCTCTCTCTCTCCCCCTTCCTCTCTTTCTTTTGTTTTTTTTGATACAGTGTTTCTCTGTGTAACAATACTGGCTGTCCTGGAACTAGCTCTTGTAGACCATGCTGTTCTCCAACTCATTGAGATCCACCTGCCTCTGCCCACTGAATGCTAGGATTAAAGGCATGCGCCACCACCACCTGGCTGCCTTCTTTCTCTCTTAAGGAAAAAAAGGGCAAATAAAATTTAAAAGAAACACACACACACACACACACCAAACCCCACAAATTTTGAAGCCACAATATATAAGCAGAGGACCGAAAAAGTAAAAAATGCTCAAAACATTATGATATTAAAAACTCCAAGAATGCTGTGGAGTTCATTTTGTGTTGGTCATCTACTGCTGGGTATGGGGCCTGCCCTTAAGTGTGGTTTGTGTACCCAGTGAGACTCCTTCCTCGAAAAAAACAATTTTTCCTTTGCAAGCAAATATCAATTGTAGACAGCTTCTTGGTTAGGGGTAGGGATTTGTGTCCATACTTCTCAGCACTGGGCCCTCATCTGACTTTGACCTGTATAGGCGCTGTGCATGCTGCCACAGGCTCTGTTAGTTCATGTGTGCATCAGGCCTGTTGTGTCTGGAAGACACTGTTTCCTTGGAGTCATCCATTTCTTCTGGCCTTACAATGTTTCCTCCTCTTCTTTAGGGTTCCCTGAGCTCTGAGGGGTGGGATTTGATATAGGACTGAGTGTTCCAAGGTCTCTCACTTTCTGCATTTTGTCTGATTGTGGGTCTCTGTATTAGTTCCCATTTACTGCAGGAGGAAGCTTCTCTAATGATGACTGATTAATCTATGTGTATAGCAGAATGTCACTAAAAGTTTTATTTTTGTGTTCCTTTAGCAAAACAAGTTTTTGATTTTCTTCTAAATCCATGCTCTATCTAATCTTGTTATCTTGACACTTACCAATGTCATTTAAATCTTTTTTGCATGTGTCATTTGTGTTTTTATTTTCCCCAACATAATGTTTTTACTATTTGGAAATTTTGTACACTGCATCCCACTAACACTTGCTTTCCATTTCTCC